TCTACTTCTTTAATTGCTTCCACTATTTTGCATAATCCCGGTGATGACTTATCTGCTACTGCATTGCATAATTATAGTACTGATACTTTTCCTATCTCATCACAGTTAGGCATCAAAGCACTCTCTAAAGACAACACTAACCTATCACATAGTACACCTACTGCTTTTCATGTGAATAATACCAAAACACATATGCTATCTCTTTGGCATAATAGGCTAGGACATCCTCACTCAGATATGTTACACAATATTCTGTCATCTATGGATAAACAACCTTCAGGATCAGTTTTTGCCTTGCCTTTTTGTGATGCCTGTAGATTAGGAAAGTTGCATAGAAATCACTTTCCTTTGTCTCAATCTAGAGCTACACCCACTCGAGTTAGTGTATAGTGATGTATGGGGACCAACCCCACTAACCTTGCTAGAAGGGTTCAAATACTATGTCCACTTTATTGATGATTATAGTCGTTTTACTTGGCTGTTTCCCTTAAGGACAAAAGCTGAAGTTGATTCTGTTTTTATTAAGTTTCACCACCTGGTTGAGAGATAATTTAATTGTAAGCTTAAATGTCTTCAATCCGACCAAGGTGGAGAATATAAGGGTCTACTGTCATATCTTGCTACTGCTGGTATTCAATTAAGGCACTCTTGTGCTCATATTCATCAGCAAAATGGAAGAAGTGAACGCAAACATAAACATATAGCAGAAACTGGCCTCACTTTACTTCCTCATGTTTCTATGCCACTGCATTTATGGTAGTTTGCATTTGATACTGTAGTTTTCTTGATTAATAGAATGCCTACTGCCATTTTAAACCACATTTCACCTTATCAAGTGCTTTTTAACAAATCACCAGTTTATTCTGAACTTAAAATTTTTGGCTGCACTTGTTTTTCTTTTCTAAGAGATTTTAACAAACATAAATTTAGTTTCCATTCATCCAAATGTACTTTTGTTGGATATAGTTTAGTGCATACATGCTATAAATGTTTGAATTCTGAAGGGAAAATTTATATCACTCCTAATGTCCAATTTAATGAACAAGAATTTCCTTTTGCCACTAAATCTGATCAGTCTCACTCTCATTCTGTTGTTACACCACTTGATTTACTAGAAACCATCTCTTCTATTCCTAGTTTTTCTTATGTTTATGTTCAGCACCCACATGATATAAGTGGCAGAGTCTCTCCTGCAGTGGCTAGTCCTGATCCACATCCCAATCCAACAATTGGTAAGTCAGTTCCAACTTCAATCTCAACACTTCAATTTTCTTCTAATATTCCTTGCAGCACTAACTTTAATTCTGCTGTTCCCTTGTCTTCATCACATCATACTAATGTCCCTATAGATGTTCCCACTATTTTAGGTCCAACCTCTTCTGATACAAATGTTACAGGTTCTAATATTCCTAGCAGCACTAACTTTAATTCTGCTATCCCTTTGTCTACATCACATCATACTGCTGTCCCTATAGATGTTTCCACTATTTTAGGACCAACTTCTTATTATACAAATGTTACAGGGTCAGCTTCCGCTACAATTCACACACCTTCATCCACCTGCCCTCTTGAGGTTGATTTCACCCATTTCAAGACCAATTGTACAACCAGTGAGTCACTATCCTTGCCTACTAATCAGTCCAATTTACAGCACTCTTCTCAACCTTCTAGTTGCTCTCTTGTAGTAGATTTAACTCCATCACAATTTTCTACTCCTAGTTCATCTTCTTTACCCTTGACTATCAACTCACACCCAATGATCACTAGGTCTAAATCCTCTTTACAACCCTCTACTACCTAAACTTGGTCTATCATCACCACTACACAACCTGAATCTTTCACAACAAAAACAGTCTTTGCACAACCTGAATCCTCAACAACAAAACTAGTCCCTGTACAGCCTTATACTGCCCTTACATTATCTACAACCACTGTTCAACCTGAACCCTTTCCAGTAAGTGAAGCTCTTGCTAGTAATGAGTGGAAAGAGGCTATGCAAGCTGAGTTTAATGCTTTAATGCAAAATGAAACCTGGAGTCTAGTACCTAAGACTGCCGATATGAATGTAGTTGGTAACAAATGGGTTTTCAGGACAAAATTCAATGCTGATGGGTCACTTTCCAAATATAAGGCTAGGCTAGTTGCTAAAGGCTTCCAACAAAAACCTGGGTTGGATTACTTTGAAACCTTCAGCCCAGTTATTAAGCCTAGTACCATTAGAATCATTCTTACACTTGCTGTTTCTTCTGGATGGGACATTCAACAGATAGACGTAAATAATGCTTTTCTTAATGGTCAATTGGCTGAAACTGTTTATATGAGGCAGCCTGAAGGTTTTGAAGTTCCTCACCTTTCTTCATATATGTGCAAACTAAACAAGGCTCTTTATGGCCTAAAACAAGCTCCAAGGGCATGGTTTGATAAACTCAAACAAGCCTTGTTGGACAAAGGCTTTAAGAATTTAGTTTCAGATTCCAGTTTATTCATTCTTAAGGATAATGCTCAAGTTCTTTATGTCCTCATTTATGTGGACAACATCCTAGTTATTGGATCCAACACTTCTTCCATTTTACAACTGATTGAAACCTTAAATACTCAGTTTGCCTTGAAAACACTTGGTTCAGTAACCTATTTTCTTGGTTTGGAGGCAACTAGAACACATGAGGGAATTCACTTGAAACAGACTAAATACGTTACTGATTTGCTTGTAAAAACTAAGATGCAAGATGCCCATTCCTGCCCCACTCCTATGGCTGCTGGTACGAAACTTTCAGCCACAGATAGTGAGTTATTTAAAGACCCCAGTTTGTATATAAGTACCATTGGTGCTCTTCAGTACTTAAACTTAACAAGGCCTGATATTAGTTTTACAGTCAACAAACTAAGTCAGTACCTTCAAGCACCTACTGAGCTATAATGGCAAGCTTGTAAGAGGGTTTTGAGATATCTTAAAGGAACACAGTCTCATGGTCTTCAGTTCAGACCAGCAATTGCTGTTCACCTTGAATGCTATGCAGATGCTGACTGGGGCAGTAACTTGGATGACAGGAGGTCCACCAGTGGGTACAGTGTATATCTTGGGCCAAATTTGATTCAGTTGAGCTCTCGAAAGCAAAGAGTGGTTGCCTTATCATCTACTGAAGCTAAATATAGAGCATTGGCACATACAGCAACTGAATTGGCATGGCTGGAAAGTCTGTTTTCTGAGTTGGGAATATCTCTCAATTCTTGTCCAGTAATTTGGTGTCATAATGTCAGTGCTGGTGCCTTAGCTTCTAATCCCGTCTTTCATGCTCAGACAAAGCATATAGAGATTGACACTCATTATATCCGGGATCAAGTTTTAGCAAAAAAGATTACTGTGCAATATGTTCCTTCAAAACTGCAGATTGCTGATGTGTTAACCAAAGCCCTCTCCATTACTCAGTTTCAAGAGTTGAAAAAGAAACTTTGTGTTATTGACACTCCACAGCCTGTACGAATGAACTGAAATATGGTGAATTGAAGTAGCAGAAACTTTGTGTTGCTGACACTCCACAGCCTGTAAGTATGAACTGAAACATGGTGACTTGTTGTGGTAAAAATAGTGCTTAATGCTGCCTGTGAGTATAAACTGGAATATGGTGAACTGAAGTGGCTATTGAAGTTTTTTTTTTTTTTTTTTTTTTTTTTTTTGAGTTGAAATGGGTAATCTGAAGTAGTAATTTTGTGATGAGAAGTGATTGTTGCATTTTTTTTTGTGTGTTGAAATGTGAAAAATCTGCAGTAGTAGTTTTTGGGTTGAAGTTGCAGTAGTAGCAGTTTTGTGCTATTGAAGTTTTGTGTTAAGTTGAAATGGGGTAATCTGAAGTAGCAATTTTGTGAGTGAAGTTGCAGTAGTAGTTTTGTGTTGAAGTTGGTAGCAGTTTTGTGACTGAAGCTGCAGTAGTAGTTTTATGTTGAAGTTGCAGTAAGAGTAATTTTGTGCTATTGAAGTTTTGAGTTTTGTGTCATTGAAGTTTTGTTTTTGAAGTTGAAATGTGGTAATCTGAAGTAGTAGTAGTAATGGTGAATCAATATGGAAAGGGTGTGTTGAAGTGGAAATGGTAGTTGAAGTTGAATATGGAAATGGTGTTTCTTGAAGTGGAAATGGTAGTTGAAGTTGAATATGGAAAGGGTGTTTTTGAAGTTGAAATGACTGCTCTGTAATTGAGCTACTCTGTAGTTGAAGTGGCTTTTAAAATAGCTGCAAGTGTTAAAGTTGCTGTTTTGCTGAAGCATTGAAATGAAGTTGAAGTTGCTGTTTTGCTGAAGCATTGAAATGACTGCAGTTTACAATTTGTTCCAAATTTTTTTTTTTTAAGGGAAAATGATATACAAAAATAAAGCTCACAAAAAGTGCAGCAAAAAGATAGCAAGAGCAAAGGCAAAAAGTGCAGCAAAGAGATAGCAAGAGCAAAGGAGAGTCCAGTTTAAGGGGGAACGTTAACCAAAATATGAAAAAGGACAAACTATGAAGGTCCTTATTGTAATTTCCTAATGCTGTATAAACTCACAGCTCTAAAACTGTGTCATTTTGGTTTTGCTCAGTTTCTCCTTTGTATAAAGCACTCACTATATGTTCTACAGTTTTAAGTAACAAAGAAATCAGTTCACGATTTTCAGATCTGTTTCCAGTTTCTATTTTTCGTCTGTTTCACTTTCTATTCTCGTCTGTTTCACTAAACCCCGCTATTTTCCTATTTAGCCCCATCTTCAAATTTAAGTGAGGACATAATTGTCATAAAAAAAATGTATTGCCTATTGAGTGAATTGTATGTACTTTGAGTTTGTGAGAACACATTTATGCTTGAGAATTATATAGAGGAATAATAATATGGGACAATTAATTTTAACATGCAACTTACCATCTCATTTTTTTGATTTGATGAGACCAGACTGTCTTATGATATATATTGTCACAGATCATTATCATTATTTTTGAATAACCACCCGTTATCATTCATTAGCTACCATCATTATCAAAATGAGTTGGATGAAATTGTATCACATAAGTTTTTCACCGTGAGGTGATGAGGCTGGTAANGTCCTAGCCAGCGTGCCACAATCGAATGTACACCATCACATCCTATCAGAATCTAAAACCGAAGCAACAATTATTATGAGGAACTAAAACTAAATCACATAATTAACAACGAAAAGATGGTAGTTAATTACCTTGGATTTGATTATAGTACCATCCCTCAAATGTATGACAGCAATGGAAGAATCTTCCTGTGATTGTGTCTCAATGGCATCAATATGGGAAGAGAAACGGATTGCACCAACCGGCAACTCTTCTGCCAAGGCCTCTAATAAGGTTTTCCGATGAACTGATCTGGGTCCAGCTCCAAGCCTGTTTCATGGCTATCTAGTTATAAGAATAAAGGAAACTGGTATTTCTTTTTAAACTCTCGACATCTAGAATCTTTCTTAATTAAATATTTTCAAAAAATTAAGCTCACCCGCTCTCTGTAGTTCCAGCATAGGAGATTGCCTGAGTAGCTCCAGTTCCGACATCGGTGACAACTCCCCTGTATTTATCACAATGTAATCAATCAGTATTGGATTATTTACACATACATACACACACACACACACACACACACACACACACACACAAAAAAAAAAATGTTGTGAAGAGTTTAAGTTACGTCTTTAAAGGAAAATAAAGGGGAGAGAGCTTATGAGCAACACCAAGAGCATCAAGAGCAAGCCAAGCGTTTGGGAAAAGGGTTAAGGCAGCACCAGCGGCTCGGAGTTCTGGAGATCTTTCTAATATTAATGCTCGAATTCCAAGTCTTTGCAGAGCCACCCCTGTGGCCAATCCTGCTATCCCTGCACCAACTATCACCACATCTTCCTCCACCATTTTCATCAATATCTCTCTCTTCTGTCTTTCTCAACAACTTTATTTATAGACAAACTATATGCAATTGTTGGCATTAAAAAAATTTCGTCCCATTGTTGAAGAGTTTCTTCAGATATTTTGATGTAAGCAATGACTTTCTATTCTTGGAGTTTTGGGGAAGGAGGAAGCAAAAATTGTTTAATAAAGCCGTCATAGTGTCGGTGAAGGTAGACAGTAGACGAACATGATCACAAAGCCGACCGGATAGTGCTTGAGTATGAGATTTACTTTTATAAAGTTATATTGATTGTTAATTTCATCCACATGCAACCAAACAATATTTGCTTTGGTTTAATAAATTTAAAATGTTAAATGCTGGCAGAGGCCCGAAAGTATCTTCGAAATAATACTAATTTATGTATGATTTCTTTTTATAAATATTGATGGTAATAAAATATTTATCAATTGAGAAAGACCACATAGATTCCTTGTATTACCCTCATAATCTTCAAGTTTACTCCTTTTAATATTAGACAGCTCATTGTAGAAAACGAGAGCATGGGCCTCTGCATAAAGATAAACAAAAATGTACGAAATCGAGGTACACTATTGTTATTTTATCCTATTTTAGGGTAGAAAAAAAAAAATCAAAAACGGAATCGAAATTAGATTTTTTTACCAATTCAGTTCGGTTTCAGTTTAGAATAATGGATAAACCAAATATTCGGTTCAGTTTCAATTTTTTTTTAAAAATAAATCGATTAATCAAACCAGATTATGAAACTGATTTTTTCAAAAAAAATAATTATTTTCTTTTATTAAATCCCTCCGAAAATGATAAAATCATCAAAAATTGTATATCAAATTTGTATACCAAATAAAATAATAAAATTTTAACTGCTTATTTATTATCGATTAATATTAATAAATTATTAAAATTTTATTATATACACAGATTCGATGCAATTCTGTTGCTGCCGAAGTATTACTCTAAATCCCTCTCTCTTTCTCGGTTTCTCAATATTTTATTTTATTAAATACTATTTTCTCTTTCTCAATTTCCCCACCTTTTTCCCTTATTAAATGCCTTTCTTTCTTTATCTCGATTTTTCATTTTCTCTTTTATTAAATGCCTCACTCTCTCTCTCTTTCTCGATCTCTTCAATTTCATCATTCATTTTCATTAAAGAGTAATACTACAAAGATATTTTACAAAGATTTCCATATAAAGTGATGTGACAAAAAAATGAATGGAAGAGTGAATTTAATGAGTTTGACTTTTTGTTTCATTATTCCATTTATTTTTTACCATCTCACTTTGTATGAAAATCTTTGTAAGATTTTTTTGTGAGTATAGTATTATTGTTCATTAAATACCTCTCTTTCTCCTTCTGATTTTTAAACTCTCTTTTATTAAATTCCTCTCTCTCTCCCTCTCTCTGCAAATACGCATCCACCATTTCTCTCTTTTATTAAATTCCTCTCTCTCTCCCTCTCTCTGCAAATACGCATCCACCATTTCTCTATCTTTTCCTTCTCTACAACAACTTTCAATGTTCCTTACTCCACATGATAAAACTTCATCATCAAAACCATAAGCCTATATACTTTATGATTTTCTTTACCACCAGCGGTTGTTTTTTTGGTTGAATTTTCAGTTGTCTCGATTGCCATATATAGGGGAAGGCTTACAGCTTTTGGGTGCTAAAAACTTACAAGGATGTTGAGCTTGCCATCAAACATCAAAGAGACAGTTTCCATCAGCTTCTCCCGCTCAGCTCTAATTTTCATGTCACAAACTGAGCCGCTTACTTTTAGTCCCTTACTCTTCCATTCCTGAATTCTGGCATCGAGCTCTGTTTGGTTACGTGAACATTTGTGTACTATTGCTCCAAATCCTGCTAGATCTTCTACTATAGCATATCTGGCAAATATCAACCACATACCAAAAACATAAATTGTGCCAAATTGGAGGGTTATATTGAATTGGGCCGACTGCACCATTTTAAATTTAAAAAACCGGTTTAAAACCGGTTAACCGAATCGAATTTTTGGTTCGGTTACAAACCGGTTTAAGTAAAAAATCGTTCAGTTTTGGTTTGGTTTTTTACTTAAATTAGAATTCGGTTTGGTTCAAATATAGAATAAATCGGTTCGGTTAATTGGTTTTTTTCACTCCTATGTACCTATTTTATTCTAAAAATTTAAAAATATATTTTTTTTAATATTTTCAAAATTCAATTATATTTTATTTAACTTTTAAAACATTAATAATTATTTTTTTTGTAAAAATAACTAAACTCATCTTAATTTTATTTTTTTTAAATATTATTAAAAAAAATATCAAAATAGTGAACTAAATGGAGTTTTATGATCTGTTTTCATAAACTTTTTTTTATAATCTAACATAACATTTCACAATTATTCAGTTTAGTTTATAATAAATCTCATTTTATAAATTACGATTGATCAATTTTGAATTATCACATCAAACAGTTTGTAAAAAGTGATATTGAGTTTAATTGTCCAACAAGGCCATATATTTTATAATAATCACGTCAAAAGTGTTAATTGTGCAGCAAGGCCATATATTTTAATTTCATTGTTGTTCAAGAATTATCACACTTTCAATACAATATAAAACTTATTCTATTTTCTTCGAGTCCAATTGACTAGAGGAAGGAACAATAGGCAATTTCCCACAATCATAATCTATAACACTACGAATCTTGGGAATGAGGAACTTGTAAAAGACATCTCTCAGGATTTGCTTCAGCTAATTTGATCCTCCTTGTTGAATCCACCCGGATAAATATGACCCTGTAGCCAACCAAGTCACACGCCACTTTCTTTCCTGAACATAACCATCTAAATCCTGAGCAATTGCCCTTGGAACAAGTCCTCCATTTTTTATTAATGAATTGCCAATGTGTCGGACCTTTATCACCCAAAGTTGTAAGTGTAATCTCTTATTGCAAGTATAAGAATCGTTTGTAATACATTGATTTTCAACACATTTTCATTCATATCTCATTTTTGCAAACAAATGAATATGCTAGTTCATATTGTGATAAAATAGATGTCGGATAAAAAATGTTTTTTGTAGTTGATCTGAATATTGTGTCGATAAAATAAATAGAGATGGATAAAAAATGTTTTATGTATATTAATTTGAATATTGTGTGGATAAAAAGGAGAAAGTTGGATAAAAAAATGTTTTTTGTATATTGATCTGAATGTTGTGTGGATAAAATAGAGAGAGCTGTAAAAAAAAAGTTTCTGCTATATTAATGTTTTATGTATATGTATTCTGAATCTTGATAACAAAATATTTTTTTCTTCAATATTCTTAATCACCTTAAGTCATGGTTATATATATAGTAAAACTTCTCTATAGTGATACTCTATATAGGAATAAATCTGTATAGTTATAAAAAATTATAGTCTAAATTTGGGATAGTTATAAATAAGAATAAACTCTACATTGTAATAAGTTATAATTTTTCTAATTTCCGTCTTAAGGAAAATTGCCTTTACATAGTAATAATTATATATATATTACAAAAAATATATTTTATGTTACATTAAAGGTTTAAAATGAAATAAAATATTTATCTAAAGTTGTTTAAGACAATGATTTATGCTTTAGAGTTGTTATCACATATTTTAACTTTTGAGTACATAATAATTTGCTAGCATGGACATCTTCTTGTTGAAGTCAAAGTATTTTTAGCTTCTCAAGCATGTTTAGAACCTCATGGCACGAAACTTTTTGTATTTTCATACTATCATCCTCATGATTATTTCCTTTCTCTTTTTGTCTAATTGTAACAATAGTTTCTTCTTCAATTAAAACATACATGAGTTATTGGTCATTTGGATGATCGAGGAAGAAATTAATATCCATTCGATTAGTGTAGTGAAGTTGTCAAATCTGATCACTCAATTCTGTAATGACTCTTTTCTTCTCCTCATCCACTTCATTTGTAACTTGCAATTCATCGACATCGATTCGGTGGTCTTAATTTTGCAATTCTTCCATCAATGACACTTATCTTTGCTGATTCCAAAATATGATCTTCTATCTATTTCAAAGTAGGCAATTGAAACGTTGAATTGAAATCCTAATACTGTATTACTAAAACATAACTTATAAAATAAGAAATCAAAACAATAGTTTTTGTAACTATACCTCTATTAAGTTATAATCTCCTCATAGTAATAAAATTAGTTGATTCAACCATTAGGACTATAGGAGAGATTTACTATAATATAATATATATAATTTATTATTAATATATATGTGTGTGTGTGTGTGTGTTGTGTGTGTGTGTTGTGTGTGTGTGTGTGTGTGTGTGTGTGTAAAGTCTCGTATAGAATGTTTTAATATATTATACAGGTAATCAAATATAAAATCTCATATATAATGAGTATACTAAGTCATTATGATAAAAGTCATTATCTCTGTATTTGTTTAATAAAATTAGATTGTATTAATTTTAAAAATGAACGAAAATATTGATATATTTATTGATCTCTATTCAGAGAATGCGACGCATCCTTTTGCATAGATAGTCGAAGGGTATCTAGGCAATGAATGGTGGGCTGCGGGCTATGCGTTGCTCTACCACTGCATTAAGTGTTCATATATTTATTAATCTCTATTCAGAGAATGTTCATAGATTTTGTACAAAAGGATTTTTTTATCTATGCACAGACAACTTAAAATTCGATTAAGCCAACCATTGTAATCCAAGTGTTCATGTTTCGTTTGGTATGGTTTTGTTTATTAATAAGTGCTAATTTTCATGTTAGAAGGAAAACATTATTCATTATTTGATTTGGAAGGAAACTATGGAATCAGGAGAGCGAAACACGGTATTAGAAACAATTTTCGGCAACAATAAAGATATTGTTTGAAATTGAATTTTTATCACAAATGTCTTGATTATAATTAAACTTATAATTGTTGACATGAATCAAGTTTATAATAACTTTTATCATATAATTAAATTAAAATATTGGATTTGTTCTTAGTAACAAATCAAATAACAAATCCAATGTTATGAAAATATCTCATTGAAATTTGATTTTCAGACTTAATGATGAGAGAGAGAATTAAATAAAATTTGAAATCATTATCTCTCT